TTGGGAGGGGAAGAAAGAAAGAGTAAAAATGAGTAAATAGATAATAAACATGTATTAAGATGAAAGGCAAAGTAAAATATGTGGGTGATCAGACATTGTGGATGTTGTTATGTATGCTGTGAGATATTGTAATTAATATTATAAATAAAATGCACATGGGTAGCTGATTGAAAACCAATATGCTTTGTGAACTTTCAAATCATGATTTAAAAAATTGCTTGCTGACTTTCTTTCGGACACTGGACTATAAGCTCCTTGAGAGAGAAACTGCCTGACTCTGTTAGATTCCAAGTGAGTGGCCCCATTCCCTCCACATTGTAGGTTCTCAGAAAATACTTACTGAAATAGTGAATGCATGTCGGTATAAGACAGTGGTATGTGATGGACATTCGGTGACCTTCTTGAGGGTCAGGTTCGCGGAAACCCGTGACCTGATACCGTGGTAAATAATAAGCTGCCCTGGTGGAGAACTGGTTCTAACCCGCCTGTGATACCTTCTCACTTGAGGAACCGGGCCAGTTGCCTTCACTGTCTAGCAGTTGTTTTTGGAAAGTGATGAAAAATTTCCCTCTTGGGAAATTTCCCTCTGTGCCTTCCTTCTTACCTTTCCTCGCTCTGTCATCCTTGTGACTCAGGAAGCTGTGATGTTTCTCTTGTTCACAGGAATCCTGCAGGTCATGGTTCAGTGCATGGTATCTTTACCATCGTTCAGTCCACCCTGCAGAGCGCAGTTAAGGAAGTGAGGGAGAGTGCTCAGCTGGTTTGTTTTCAGTTTTGTTCTGTTTCCCCGAGGTTCACTGTAATGATAGACTTAGGAGATAAATTGTGCATTTGTCAGAGATAGCTTTTGATTCTTCAAGATCAAAGAACTTGTTACTGACCCTTATAAGGATACTTCTTTGGTTCAAGTGTTCCTCATTTTTTCCAAGATAACTAGTCTCTAATTTAGCTTTCTTTTTTAAGTCAACTTCAATATTATCAAAAAATCATTCACCAGATAATCAGCCTTGGTTTCCATCACGTGCTGCAGATATGATTGCAACACTGGAAGGGAAATGTTCTGCTTGGTCTCAGCCTGTAAATGAAAATAACCCCAGGCAGGTGGCCTTTCTGAAAATATCCCTCCACATCTATGCCTGTCATCCATCTGTTTCTTAGTACCTACTGCTGTATAATCTAATCCAGCTCATAGCCATCCTCTGTTGGTTTGCAAGGCTAGAAAACCATAGGATGAGAGGACACAGCTCATCTTTCTCCAATAGAGTGACTGGGGGGGTTCGCACTGCTAAACTTCCAGTTAGCAGCCCAATACATACATATATGTATAAGTATACATATGTGTATACATATAATAACTAGCTACTGGCAGTATGAGTTTTTTAAAAAATTCAAAAACACTGAAGGTTAGATTCTTTGTTATTCAAAACTCACTACCTTCATAAGATTCAACATACAGTGACCCTCCATTCAGTGCCCAAGGCTGTACATTGTGATGGCAGGAGACTGCCTGTCTTTCTTCCATAGAGGTGGATTCAGGCCCCTGGACAAGCTTAGCATTTGACTAGGCTGTACAACTCTCTGTGGACTACACCACCAGTGCTCCCTAGATGCTTTATATATAAACATATTCTTTTAAATTGACCCAACCAGGAAAAAAACCCAAACACCTGAGGACTAAATTCTATTCATTTAGTCAGCTGAGAGGGAGCTCTGGTGACTTGGTCTTTAGGAAGCTGTTCTGTTAACTGAAAGTCCCTGCCTCTATGGCAGTTTGAAATCTACCAGTGCCTGTGCAGGGAAAAGATGGGCAGTCTCCTCCTGTGAAATTTACAACCTCAGAAACCCGATGGATGGTCCAGAACTGGCCAACCCAGAACTGGTTGGTTCTGACTTGATGAGAATGAGAGAGTAAACTGTGTAGCTGAGGCCAATTCAATTATTGTTTCTTTGGGTTAGGGATTTTTTTTTAAATATGAACAATTAAAACTTGCCTTCCATCTCATTGACTTCACTCTATAGGAAATGTATCTTGAGAGAGTTCAGAATTTAGAAATTTTAAAATGAGTAAAATTTTATGAAAATTCAAATTAAATATAAGATATTCTACAGATAATAAATGACTAAATTGAAATTCTTATATTGGAAGTTGATGGTTTACTTGATAATACAGGAATCATGATCATATACATTGTTATTAGCACTAAAATAAATACTATGTATTTCTCTTGACCGCTGTGTTCCAATCAAAGGTAATGTTTTCACTTCAGCATCTCACAGTATTTGCTCAGTGTAGGTATGGTGAAAAGATGCAAGCTGCTTATTTTAAAGCACGCAATATGCCCTTGTTCTGTTCAAACAACCACTCTTGGTCATTCTACAGCATGAACACAATTAAATGTCTGGGATTTCTATTCTTAATGTTATCCATAATTTATTACGATTCATGACACAAATGCCTTTGCACAGTCAATAAAAAACAAATAAACATCTTCCTGGTATTCTCTTCTTTAATCAAGAAGCAGCTAACACCAGTATTGATATTCCCTTATTTCACAGACTCTCTGAATCAATCTTTCATTTCTTATAGTTCCATACGGATATACTGTTCCAATCATTTTTAAATAGTCTTCATTAAGATTTTACTCAAGAATGTTATTAATGATAGTTTGATACTTTCTACATTATTTTGCATTACCAGTTTTTTGAATGGGCACACACCTGGATTTTTTTCACTTGTTTGGCCAATGCTGTCTTCAAATTTCATGATGCATAGAGGACTGTATCTATTTGTTGAAGCACCTCAATTGATATTCCATCAATTCTTGGAGCCTTAATTTTTTCCCCCAATGCTATAGGTGCAGCTTGGGCTTGCTCCAGAGCCATTAGTTCTTGATCATATGCTACTTCCTTAAATGATTTCTCTATTGGCCAATTTATTTATTTATTTATTTTTGGTATGGTGGTTTTATGTGTGCCTTCTATTTTCTTTTGATGCTTTCTGCATCCTTAAATATTTTGCCCATAGAATATTTCAGAATTTTATCTGGAGGCCTGAATTTGTTCTTCAGTTCTTTCACTTGAGAGATGCTGTGTTTCTACTTTCTGTTTTCTAAATCCAATTCTGTCTAGTTCATTTTAATTGTTTGCTTTATCTTCTTGAGCTACCCTCTGAAGTCTTCTGTTTAAATTTCTTATTTCATCATTTTCCCCCTGTTGCTTTAGCTTATTTACATTTCAGATTGAATTTCAGAATCTCTTATAACATCTATTTTAGTCTCTTTTTTTTAACTTTCTTAATGTCATCCCACAACTCTTCTGGTCTTTGGTCATTAATGTTCAAGTGCTTCATATCAACTCTTTAGATGGTTCCTAAATTCAGATGGGATATATCCATGCCATGTTTTGACACTCATGGATTTGTTTTCATGTTCTTCACCTTCAATTTGAACTTAGATGTGAAAAATTGGTGGTTTGTGCTAGTTCTACTCTGACCTTGTTCTGACTGATGATGTTGAACTTCTGCACTGTTCCTTTCCAAAGATGTGGTCTGTTTGATCCTTGTGTATTTCATCAGATGAGGTCTGTATGTAGAGTTACTATTTCAATTTTTTCAAAAATATTTGCAATGAATATGTTGTTGGCAAGCAAAACTCTTATTATGTTCTCTTGGGCCTTATTTCTATCACTAAGCCTATATTTTACAACTACAATTGCTTCTTCTTCCAAATTTTGCTTTCTAATCATCAGTTATTATTAATGCATCTTGATTACATACTCACTAGATTTCTGACTGTAGAAGTTGATGGAAATTTGCAATTTCTTCATCTTTGTACTTTGTATATAAGTGTTAATAATATTCATATTAACAGGTCTTACCTTGTCTGACTTTGGATATTATGCCATGTGAAATACTGACAGTATTGTACTTTAGAATAGATTTTGACATATGTTTTGATGATGAACGTGATACCATTGCCTTTCAACTTGTAGAAGTAGACCATGTGATTGTCCTGTTAAAAATGGTCAATACTAGCATATTTCACCTCACTATTTCCTATGAAAGCTTTCTTTTATGTGTCCCATTTCATTTTTGAGAACTTCTAATTTTTCAAGATTCATACTTCATACATTCTCTGTTGCAATTATTAATTGATGTTTGCAACAGTTTCTTCTCAATTTGAATCATGGCACATCAGTCAGTGAAGGTTCTGCATTGACTGAAAGCCTTCTTCCACCCACCATTGTTAAGATGCTATATTGAAAAGGCAGCTCTTCCTCTCTTTTGAGTTTCTTGCAGCCTAAAGGCCTCATCTCCTGACCCTGTATCAGACAGATTTTTGCTGCTATTCATAGGCTTTTCAAAAACACAATATCTCATAAGGTGATGGTCAGTCCTGTTTCCTACCTAGTGTGTCTTTGTCTGGGAACTTTACTGAAATCTGCCCACCATGGGTAAACCCTGCTAGTACTTGTAATATTACCGTAGTACTGCTAGAACTAGTACATGCATATTCCAGAAATATGTGTGCCACGACAGTATAACAAACTGGCAGCTGAGTGAGAGAACTTAATATGTGCTATTCTGGAACTTAAACATATAGAAAGTATGCCTACATATACTACATTCTTTTTAGAATCGCACAATTAGCCTGAATGGCCCAAATTGTTGCCTAGCTTTCAGATCCACAATAGACTGTAACACAAATTAAAAACAAGAGGTTTTTGGCTGAATGATATTACTATTTATGGTAGATATTAAAAAGAATCTTCTTATCCAGTAAAAGAACCTTCTTTATCCAACAAGGACCTGGGCATTGTTGACATTCATAGGGTCTTCCCTGAAGGCAAATACCCTCTCTCTCTTGAACTTATATTCTGTGGATGTGGCATATTATGTACCCAAAAATATATCTACCATTCTTTTTTTAAGATGAGACATAAAGGACTAAATTATGTTCCAAAAGCCCATAATACTGTGAATTCCTTCTTTACTTCAAAAGGGAGAAGATTCAGTTTATCCGAACTGAAGGAACCCCAGGATTGGTGCGACTTTCCAGTGATGCAGACCTTGTAATGTTGCTGAGGTATGTAACATTAGATTTTTCAAGTAGAGATCCCCCTGTCAGCAGATATTATGGATAAGTTTAGAAAATAATATGTCAATATTGGTGACCTAAAAATAGATAACCTAAGATATTTCTTGTATTCCTAAAGGTTTATGAAAACACTGCTGTTGAAGACTTAAAATGCTGATTTAGTGAGAATGCATTTTAGTTTGTATTTCTTACAACTAATTTCTTTCTGGCTTTTACATTTTTACCCTTAAGAGAAAGGAGATTGTCTCAAAGAAGGAAAAGGTTGTTTGTAGAAGGCTATAAATGTAATTCCTCAGCCATAAAATGGAACAGAAGAGTACCTCAATAAAGTACACATGGCCCACCCCTTCTTTTGTTATTTCTGTCACTTTTTTAAAGTGCTTTTCTCACTTTGCTGATTCAGAACACTGTTTACTTTATGGTTTTGAGAGTTTAGCTTTGGGAAATCCAACCATAAGGTTGACATCTGGTCATTGTTACTCACTGCCAATTTGATAGCCCTTCTTAAATGAACTAATTTTATTTCCTGGTGAGTAGATCACTATTGGTTTTAAAAATTGGACTAAAATAGGAAACTGGCAGCTTTCAAAAATCTTTATATACTCTCTCAAAGGAGAACAGGGCAGAGTAAAATGATACCCACCATTACAACTACTGTAGCATTAAAGAGGATGTTGTCCTAAACCACTACACTGGCAATATTTGTATTACCTGGAATGAAAATAATCTCATTCTTGTTATCTACATGTAATGTTCTTGCCCACTTGGTGTTTGCCAAAACTAAAGCCAAAAGTTGGGTGTGGTAGTTTGGTTTTTTTACTATATATTTGAAGCATACTTAAAAGAGTTTTCACCATTTTCTGATGGAGCCCAGGTGATTAAAGAGTTCCCTGCTAGCTGAAAGGTCGGTTCTTCAAGCCCACCAGCCTCTTGTGGGAGGGAGAAGTGTGTGGTGGGAAAGAGGTGCTTCAGTGAAGAGTCACAGCTTTGGAAACCGTTTAGTGCAGTTCTGTTCTGTTCTGTTCTGTCCTGTAGAGTTTTTATGAGTCAGAATTGATTTGGTGGCAAAAAGTTCATCTAGATAGATTGTAGCTAGTTCTCTGGACTCTGAACAAGATCTTGGACAGTGTGGGTCACTGCCTAGTTAAGAGGGTGGTTCCCTAGACTGGTATATGGAACTAATTCTGAAAGCAGGATGTAAATAATGCTGTTTTCTCTTACAGTTTGGTGGGTAATAAAATAGTAAGCTGCATTATGAAATTATGACTAGGTTATGACTCTTTCATGTCATTCTCGAAATCTAAGGGATTTTTTCTTTCAAATGAAAAAATCTGCTTTTAGAAATTATTTTTAATAACATTATAAAGTAGGATTATTGACTTGTTAAATAATTTCCTTTTTTAACATGTTGTTGTTGTTATGTGCCATCAAGTCACTTGCGACTCATAGCAACCCTATGTACAACAGCCCTAAACTCTTCTCTGTCCTGTGCCAATCACACTGTCTCCGATACACTCATCCCAATTACCCTAGTCACTGAGTCAATCCACCTCATAGAGGGCCATCCCCTCCTGCGCTGTCCCTCCACCCTCCCAAGCATGATGTCTCTCTCCAAGGACCGATCCCTCCTTACAACATGTTCAAAGTATGTTAGACGGAACCTCAGAATCCTTGCCTCCAAGGAGCCGCCTGGTTTTGACCCTTGCCAGGATGAATCTGTTTTCCTAGCAGTCCATGGTACCCTCAATACTCTTCTCCAGCACCACAGCTCAAAGGCATCAATTCTC